GAACTCTAACTTGTATAATGGTAATTGAAGTTGGTACCCCTTCATATCAGATAGCTGGCATGTTTGGACGATGCTTTGTATGTCTGATATGATTAAGGTTAAGCCTGACTATTGTGAGAGTTGGACCGATGACGTACCTTTTTTTKACTACTATAAGAGTCATCYGAGTGGGTGGAGGGTAAGGATGAGTGAGATAATATTCCTCTGTCAAGAGTTGAAGGTAYAGATCCTCTCCTAGGTGTCAGGTTAGAAGTAGTCTCGACACTTTGAGGAGAGATGGGTTAAGGAAAGCTGGAAGYTTTTATGAGTATGGACTGAGATGTTTGAGTCTGGGTTCTAARTGGTTGATCAATCTATATAATCATGGAAGATAGTAGATCGGCATGACGWCCTCTCTACAAAAGTGGTATCTGACCCTASAGGCAGTAAGAGTGAYAGTAAAGGGGCTAACAATTAGGTCATCCCTTTWACTTTCGCTASGACGATRGGATSWARGTAATGTTAGACCTCCACTTRTTCYTTTTCAGGYTTGGACCATCCACTCSAATCTATATGGAATTTGAACTAAGGACTTGAGGCTATACTTCTCAAAGGGTTTMTTTTSAGTTATATGTTAAATTTATATGCCAGATTTTATTGTGAATAWGCYTGTTTTGWGTCTATCTATGTGAGGCTAGGTTATTTATCTGAAGTACTGGTTGAACCTATTATTCTGCAAGGATTTATATGAGTGTCTCAAGCCAAAATATCGATTTATGACTGGCTGATGATGGTTATATGTTTGGATTGTTCTTCAAAGAGGGGTAGAGATATTATACAGAATCCACGTCTGATGTGGATTCAGAGGTGAATGGAGTGACCGCTTCCTTGGGATAAAATATTGTCTTGTAGAGTGGTCGATGTGTAAGGCCTGCCCTAAGGAAGGTGACAATCCTATGTTATTGTTTCCCTGAAAGATGGCTTTGAAGAAGTCATAGATTGTCTTGTAAGTAGTGATGAGACCCACGGCGGAACTATGCTCCTGATCCATAATGGGGTGTTGTTGTTGTATCTTCTATGATAAAATAACTACACTACTGCTGAAAAGGAGGAAAGTGTTTGGGCCTTGCTAGACTTTGGTCTATGAGGGAAGCAGCTACTACATGCCGCAGGAAAGTAGGGGGTGAATCCCTGACTTTCTTTGTGACAGGTGGGTTCACCAGCACAGGACGGGACGGTACATCCCGAAGCGTGTATGGTCAGGTTGTTTACTTTGTCAGAAGAGGTCTGCAAGGAATGAATGCTAGAATCGAAGGGAGCAGCAGTGAGGCTTAATCCTTGAGCGGGGCTCAAGGGTTTGAGATGCTATCCATTCTAAAAAGGATTACACTGCCCCTCGCCACAGTATACTTCTGTCAAAGCTGGGGAGTAAAAGTGTGATATTCTTGTTATTATTATGTCCAAAAATGCTATTGGTTGGGAATTCCATCTCTAATCATGACATATCTATCATATAATATGCCTGCTGATATAGGCAATCATTATGAGGTAGTTGTATATGGTTCTAGTGATTGACTAGCCTGAGTATGATGCATTTGATTTTTACAAGTATTATTTTTGTCTATTACTAAAAGGTGATATATATCATTTTCCAAGAGTTATTATTATTATAAAATATTTTTGATACCTGTGAATGAACAATTATTATGGTATATTACCATTATAAGTTCTCCGAAGTTGGATGGTCGTAGTTCTTGGAATGGACAAATTTTAGTGAAAGATGATTTAAGGTTAAGGCTTTAGTAGTTGAGATTGTGGGACGCGATTGTCAACATGGTAACGGGAGGCGTATGCTTGACGTTTGTCAGTGATGGGCAAAACCTAGACAAAGGCAAGGCAACTCAGGATGCCTTATGCTAGGGAAGATCCCAATATCGCCTTGCCAGCTTAAAGGGAAGGTGGACTCGAGATATCCTTGCCAAGACAGGTTAAAGAGGGGGAACATATTTCTTTTTGGTGGGGCGTACAAATGGATATGGGTATCTTTGCCTGGATCGAGTCTGGTTTCGATGACAATCAGAATTGCGCGATTGTGAGGGTGACCCTATATGCTCCGCCATCATTTTGGGTCAGACATGGGATTGAGCTGGTATTGGGGCACGGGAGTATACTTACTAGACCCTTGATGGTAGCTGAGGGAGCTGCGAGGAAATGGGCAAGGGAAAGAGACCATGAGGGAGAAGAGCAGGTGGTGACTCATGTAGAGGTCAAGCGCGCTGAAGAGTTTGTACTTCCCTCAGCCCCGTTAAGAGTCGTTCTGCTTTATTTCCTCGTAGAGAAGTGTTTTGGGGGACATGCAAGGGTAGAAGCTGCAACAGAAGCTACCTTGAGAGCGCAAGAATGGGGGTGTGGGCGTTATACGTGTGAAATGATTTATGGCCTATACTTAGACCTAAGGTTTTTACCCCCTAGTCATGGGTTCAGAAATATGGTCAATGTGGTTGACGCTTATGCTAGTTCCCATGACCCAGACCAGAGAGCTCAAGATTGGGACAAATTTCAGGTAGTAGCAGGCCGATAGAGATTGCCCGCATACTCTGCTAAGTGCTTATCTCGCAGGCCTGTTTATGGGCGTCTTACTATGTAGTGAAAGTAGGAGGGTCAATGACATTTGTAGCAGTGATTAATATCTGCCCATGATTAACTATGAAAATTCTACCTACGTGAGGCATATATTGTTTATGAGTCTCTCTAATGTGAGTGCAGAGTGACTAAAATTAAGAGTTATATTGTGATTATCTGTTTTAAACTCTTTTCGAGAAGCGGTCTGACAAGCTATGGTTTGCTATGCATATCAGGCCAACATCGACATCATGGCTGAAGAAAGTGGTTTCGCCAAAATCCTATCCAGGAGGAGTACGTGCCTCAGTAAAGTGTTGTTGTGCGAGTCAGTGAGCGACTTGATGTCCCCAGAGCTCCGCGCCCTGCTGTTTCAGGGAAGGGGGTTGGCTGCCTTCCTCGGCGGCTATCAGGATTTCGCCCTCGCAAAGATGTGGGACGAAAAGGCGATGTGGAGCATGTTGCCGCTGTTTATCTGCAAGGAGTTGAGTGAGGAGGTGTACACCCTCGTGCTGAAGTCGAAGACCTGGGATGAGTTGGGAACTTCTCTAAAATTGAAGTTCCCAGAGGATGGGATGGAAGGCCAGCCTGGTAAGGGCCCTGAGCAGCCAGTCGAGGTTGCGTCAACACAAGGAGAGTTGAGCGGTATACAGAGGCAAGTTGGGATGTTAGAAGAGAGGTTGACGCGATTGGAAGAGGCCAGGCATGGCAACAGGAAAGCCTCTGAAGGAACATCGAGTGGACCAGCTGGGCAGGATGAGGCAGAGGCAAGGGAGGATCATCAGGAGTCGATCCTCCACAAGAGAACCTCGAAGGGGCGAGCGTGCGCCCCAGAAAGAGACGAAGGCGAGGGATTCATTGAAATAAAGGAGGAGCTGGAAGTTAGCATGGCCCCGCCTGTTATTGCGCCTGATCCAAAGAGGGAGTCCATTAACGTGGAAGCATCCTCAGTTGGGGATCAGGAGGGGCAAAGGAGTGAGTGGTGGCCAGAGCAATGGGTATAGGAGGTACGCGATCGTTGGGGAAAGACTGGTCGTACCCCTCGAGCAAGTAAAGAAGAGGATGTGACGGGAGAAAAAGGGAAGACTGAACCCCCCAAGTTGACAAAGGCTCAGCTGACGGCGAGGAATCGGGCTTAGGGAGGTCAGGGTACCGGAAAGGGGCAGTGCTCGCAACAAGAGGTAATCACCCCGCGAGAAATGGGGGGCAAAACTGCTCAAAAGGGGCCTTCGGTGGCCAAGCAGGCATTATATCGGCAATGGACGTCGTACGATCAAGTGGGTATAAGGCCTAAGATTGAGATAGACTTCTTCAAGGGTTATCATGTTTCTAATTTCCTTGAWAACTTTGGACGGATAGCATTCCACTACAAATGRARTGAGGAGCGAATGCTGAAAGAGGTCATAAGGTTTATCCATATAGGATTGAAGAATGAAGTTGACAGGTTGGTTAAAAGAGCGKGGTCATCATGGAGGAAATTTTGTGAWGACATGTGGCATAAGTCCCGGTTAGGTGAGGAACACCCGGCCAACGACGATCTTGAGAAGATACCCAGGCCACAAGATGGTTATCTAGGTCCAACAGTGAGCGTAGTGCCGCCCAGGCCTTCGGTAGCCCAAACCCAACCCAGGAGGCCGTTGCGATTACCGCCGCAACAAGTGTCACAAGGCGGCGGGGCCAACAAAGAAGGTCAAAGGCAGGGGGTTGGAAGAGGCCACAAGAACGGTGGGCGTGGCRGMGAAGAGCGTCGCGGSAGCAAAKGTGGCTSTGGAGGGAAGAAAGCGGGTTGGGAGAAAGATATTTGCAGACATTGTGCCAAGAAAGGGCACATAATAAAGTTTTGTTGGGAACGAAGGAAAGATGAGGCAAGCGGTCTAATAAGGACTAATATTGAAGGAGATGTTTTCGACAGGGCCGGGAAGTATATYGACCCAACTATCCTTGGGGGAACACGGAAAGAGGCTTTCCGACGAGATGGGGCATTAAGCACTGCATCSYGAATGAAGTTTGGGGAAGATGGGTTTGTATGAGAAGGGCCTRGAGATTTGAGTAGACMGTAAATATAAGCGAGAAATCCCAATTATATAGCTGTTGTAGATAGGCACAGCGTACAGAGGGAAGGGATTTTCGTAATAATGGTCCAGTAAGGTGGMTTGAGATRTAGGCAGGAGGGACCCCAATAGAATAACTGTATATATGGGGTATGTTAGGTCTGCCTCACATCACGTTAGGAGAATGCCTCYAGTAGGAAGAGCAAGGAGTGACCCTAASARCAATGYTACGGAGTAGGAGGCTATTCTATCAGGCCTATTGATTGGGAGAAGAAGATATGGGGCCTACGTCGTGTCTAGGCCTAGATGGTTGTACAGGTGTGAGAGGTAGGAGAAGCTTAGGAAGAGACCTCWGTKTGTGGGAGATARGCTTTCTRGCCTAGGAAGGTAGTTGCAAKASTTGGGTATGAATGACSTYTAGTCTTASTTTTCCTTGGATATCTGGATATGTTTTTAAATACTCAGGTCCCTCTGATTTGAGGGGTGTGATCATATCCTGACCAAGGCTGCTTTAGTTTTAGGTCTGGTCAGAGAGGGCATAAATTTTGTGTGTGGTACTGATACCAATTCGAGTTGAGATCGTTCAACTCCGGGTGCACATATGTAATTCGAGACCATTTGGTTTGCGTTTGAGTTGGGGTATTGTACCCCTATGTATATATCGAGTTGAGAGTTTGTTTGAGACTATTCTTTGTATATGACGATCACAATCACTCTCACATCTGTGGTTTTATCTTGATGAATAATGGTTTTGTATGAAGAGGTGGATGAGAAATATCTCATGAATTGGGTAGATTTTGTGAGAATGGATGRATGTGAACTGTCTACTCTTCGGTATACTTGTGCGGTCTGCCTACAAGCAGGACAGGGCCAAGTACAAGGAGAGGGAATGCAGTCTGTTATTGTGAAAGTGTGAGAATCCTAAGGGATTCATGAGTCCATGAGACCCAGGAGCTCGCCATGCCGAATAATTGTGAGTGAGTTGTGATGAGGGCCCATAAGTTGGCCTCTCAGTTTAAGTTGTTTTATGGCTGAGACACCTTTGAGTGTAAAGGTAGTCTATTGTTGTATATTGGAAGACTCATCTTCAGAGAGGGAAGATGTTTTAAAAAGAAAGGTCACGTGAGAGTTCATCCTAGAGAGAGAGGGATGACTGGGAGACCTATTGAGTAAGACCTCCTTCGTATGAAAGGGGGTGAATAGATTCAATGGCATGGTAAGTTGGTTTTGAATGATAAAGTCTGATGAGGAGGACCACGTTCTTACTTGGCCATTGGTGGAATTTAAAAGGTCGCAAAAAGCTTCATCGGGAGATGTTTCGGGATATGTGGTCTTCTAGCCCTGATCAAGTGAGAAGGTCGCGGCCTTGCGGACCTGGCGGTGATTCTGTTTTGTGATGGTGGAGACGCTGCCGTGTTCTCTTTATGTTGATCCTCAGAGGACTGGTAAATGCCTTTTATGTGTGACAGACTTCTGCATTGTCCCGCAGTAGGCCTGTATTGTTGCGACACGCTGTCCAGCCGCTTGCGCTGTATCCTGGGCATTCATGAGAATACCAAGCTAACGGTAAAGTTTAGCATCACTAAGGCGCAACCCTTAGTGTCGGCCGCTGATCGGCGCAACCTGACAGCGNTGGGCATTCATGAGAATACCAAGCTAACGGTAAAGTTTAGCATCACTAAGGCGCAACCCTTAGTGTCGGCCGCTGATCGGCGCAACCTGACAGCGGGCCCACGTCTGGAAAGGGGTGTGGCCATCCAGGAGGGTTTTACCTGCCGCGGGATGGCGTGGGATAAGAGTCGAGTCTTTCTTTTGAGTCCTGATTGAATGCTTATCAGGAGAAAAAGCTTATCGTGGCGCAACCTACGAGGGCACTACTGCTAAAATAACAAGCGCAGTAGGCCGTAGATCTGGCACGATCACCCGGACTATGGTGGGCCAAGATGGAGACCTAGCGTTCCTCTACTAGACTGCAGGAGGTGTGTTGAGTTAAGATTCATATATATATACATATATATATATATATGTTTGATTGCGAGGATTGGTGGAGGGAGGCGAGAGTGCCTTTGAAGATCTCGGTTAGGGCCCGCGTCCATGGTCATGGCCCTGCTTGCAGGGTAGAGACTAAGGAACGCTCCACGAGGAGCCGACGTTTGTCTAGGACAAAGGGGAGAGGACAGTTGAGCGGAACTTATGTTGTAGTACGTATGTCCAGTACACCTGCGTCCTAGTGTGAGACAAAGGAGACCCAGGTTAGAACCTTGACAGCATATAGTTGTAAGGGTTTGGATTGTTGGAGGCCTCAACCCTGAGTCTGTCGGTTCATGAGATTGGTACCTGGATTGTTGGAGGCCTCAACCTGGACAGCATATAGTTGTTGACCGCGATGCCTGATAAGTGATGGTATTCCCTGGGTAATTCTCTATAGCACCTTGTTTCTGGTTATTTCCCTTGTTTGCCCGGATGTGCGGTTGACCCGGACCAGCGCCGGGGTTAGTGGCCACCACGGCGCGGTCATATATATGACCCACGCCTTTTTTTGGGTCCGATGAGGCCGCGCGAGGGTGTATTGTGTTCGCAGGGTGGCTTGGAGCGTGGTCGCGAACTGTCTTCGGGATTGCGCTGAAGTACCCCGGTATGAAGCTCCGAGGGTCTCCGTAGCAG